ATGCATGAATGCACTATAGCATAAAGTACCAGGTACCCAGTCGTTCAGTTTGCATTCACATCTCCCGGACAGGCCATGCAGGCCCTCCCACAACCCATAACCAACACACACACACACATGGAATCTGGGGAATGCAGGACTCTAGCTACCTTGAGCTTTCCTCGACGAAGAGTTCACATCAGCATCAATCACCGTTCTCGCCGCCCGCGTCGCTCGTGCCGAAGCAATCGCTCATGTAGTCGACCTCCATCTCACCCAAGCCGAACTCCACCGATCTCTCAAGACTTGATAACGGTTATTCAAATAGACCAACTGCGGGTCCGACGGTAGAGGCAGGTGCAACCAGAGGCTCCATATACCATGACCCTTGTCCAAGCGGCCAGAGATATGCGATAACAAAATCTTCCCAGGCTCATCCCGCAGTCCTCCGTTACGTACATAAACAAGCTCTGTGCTAATGGGAGTCTGCATCAGCACTAATTTCACCTCCTCTTCCGACCGGTTCGTGGGAGATACCAGAGTTTTACTTTCCGCCTTCGTTTACAAATCCTTCGAAACCAACTCTTAGCGGCCCAACCCGCTCTTGCGACCGTACCTGCCTTGGAACACATTTCTTTCTTCTTGGATAAGAAGGCTAGGCAATCCCAGTGGCCGAATCTAGCGCCCTTGGTGGTTGTGCTTGGAGCGTTTGCATGAGAGAATATTGTCCTCTACATGTCAAGTTTTAAGTGAAGGAAACACCGTACAATGTCATTTTTCGTTGACCATAGCAATCGCTCTACAATCATTGTGTTTTTGTAGGCTTACTTTTCTTCCACGTTTCGTGTCTTTTTGAACCTTTTGGAAGTCTCGTTTGGTGGTTCGCGGACGTCATTCAAATCCAACTTGGTTGACAAGAAATGGCTGACTGTTACTGGCTTGTTCGGATCCTTTCATTTGACCTCGGAAACCTATTTGTGCATCAGGGTTGCTATCTGGGCGGTATATCATTTCGTGCGTAAGGATGACATGCAATGGTTGGTACATGCAAAGTTCTTGTCAGGATGTAATATTTAGCACAGCCCGCTTGATACCGGGTCGGCCACAGGACGAATCGATATCTCCTTCCCGATGGAGCCAAGTCAATCATAGTTGTAACCGCCAAGTCGATGAAAGACCATCCGCAACCTAAAAATAATTATTCGACAACTATCCCGCTCAAGATCCTCACATTCAGCATCAACCCATCATTATCCCACTATTCTTGCACAAATAAGCAAACTGGAACAATCAACAGGGTAAACTGTCAGTCGCCTTGCGCACTAATTACCATCATGGACAAGGCGCTACCTGAAAGACGTGCCCTCGGATCCCTCAATCTGACCACCGTTGTGAAGGGTGTAGCACGGAAATAGCTCCGCCCAGTTCCCCACTTCAATCGCTGATCGCTGGAGTAACGGTGAAAGCCTACAATCAGACCCGTTACAAATCAAGGTGACATAACGGGGAACCGGGATGATGGCCAAGTATGACTTAAAGACAACGTCAATCCACTGCTTACATCAACCCCTCTTGGTGATTCTCTTCGTCAAGCAACCCCACCTCACAGGCCCTAAGAGAAATCTGGCCTTCAACGCAGGCAGCCACTATGACTACTGAACCGATCGTTTTCTTTGACCTCCCAACCAGGGCGCCGGTCAAGGCCTGGTCCCTCAACCCCTGGAGAAGTAAGTGTTGGCTGTCATCATACCAGGTAAGCTTAAGCTAGGGAAAAAGGCTGATGATGGATGGATGCAGCGAGGTTTGTTCTCAACTACAAGGGTCTCAACTACAAGACGGAATGGGTAAGTCATGGCAATCATCCAGGCACATCGGATGCCACAAGCATTAACATAGCCTGAAGGTCGAGTACCCAGACATCAAGGCCCGACTTGAGGGACAGTAAGTTGCCCCTTTTCGCTCCCTTGCACATGATCGCAACCCAAACGACGTAAACACCATGCTCATGCACTCGCTAGCGTCACCCCAAACGCCAGCGATCCACCCTACACTATCCCCGCCATCCGTCTCCCAGACGGCAAGTATGTGATGGACAGCTACAAGATCGCCGACGAGCTGGAGAAGCAACATCCATCACCCCCGCTGCACCTCGGGGCACCCGTGCAGCTGCGGCTCGTGGAGCTGCTCAAGCGCGTGCACCCGCCCTTCTTCGGCATCGTCTCGACCGGGGTGCCCAAGAACCTGCTGTCGGCAGCCAGCATCCCGTACTGGTACCGCACGCGCGGCGAGGATGTCGGCATGCCTCTCGACGAGTACACTCGGCTGAAGGGCGGCGAGGTCGCGCTTGCCGCCATGGCGCCGCACATGCGGGCGATCACTGACCTGCTCAAGGAGACGCCTGACGGCCCGTTCTTTATGGGCAAGGAGGTCAGCTACACGGATTTCATCTGGGCGGGGTTTCTTATCTTTGTGCGAAACGTGGACGCGGAGGCATTCGAGCGTGCGCTGGAGCTCAGCGGCGACGGGCAGGTGCATCGGGACTTTCTTGAGGCACTGAAGCCGTGGTCCGAGAGGGACGACCACTGAGTTGATCGTTGGGTGGATTGGAGATTCCCTCAGGCAGGTCGGGCAGGTCAGGCAGCTGGAGGTCCTGGACGGTGTGCAGGACACTGTATACCGAAGTAATCATAGAAGCTACAGCGTATCTGAAAACAAAGTTGGCGAGACCGGTGTTGGCAGTCGTTCCTTCCTCGTTCACCAAAACATGGCGGGGCCGCCAGTATGTGAAGTGCGACCCCACCCAAAATGGGGCAGGGATCCCTCCTTCCTTCCCTCCCTCCTTCGCCTTCCTTCCACAAAAGACAGGAAAATTTTTTCCTTCCTTCTTTCCACCCAACGCATGGTGGAACTTTCTCAATCCCCAGAGAGCACGCCGCTGCTCTTGACTCATTTTCACCGAAACACGTCTATATTGCTCTTTCCACGCGTAAGTCTCGCGGCCATCCCACGTGTCGTATCTGTCGTTAATGCCCACCAGCACCATGTCCGAGTCGCTGGAGAGGAAGCTCAAGCTCCTCGACCTTGACGAGACCCGCATGGTGATCGCGGAGGCCGCGCGCCACCGAAACGTACGTGACCTCATCGTGCAGTTGGTGGACATCGCCACGGCAAAGAAAAAGAAGGCTGGCACCAAGCCTCATGCCACGTCGTCGGCCGCAGCTGCAGGCCCGTTGAAGATCACGGGTCGCCCTGCTCAGAATCCCGCTGCCACCAGTGGCCCGGAGCCAACCGCCACTGCCAAAACCACTGTCACTGCTTCGGTCACGCCAATCTCCACCGTCGTTGCTCCTAACGTCAATTCGGGCAAGCACCGTCGCCCAGCTCTGCGACTCGTCACGACCCATGGCAACAGCAATGATGTCAAAGATGGTGAGTGCGCACGAAAATTCCCAGATCCCCTTTCGCTCTCCCCGTCGTAAATTCTTGAGGCAGGTCCCTAACGTTGATTGACGAAGGTAACCCTCGCAAGCGGAAGGCTACGCCAGAGACAGAGCCCAAGTGTGAAGCTACAGGTACCTTGAAGCGAACCCAGGGCAGAGCGAAGGGCAGACTGCAAGCCCAGACGCTGGGACCAGCTTCAGCGCCGTCTTCGAAGAAGTGTTCAGACTGCGACAAAACGGTCGAGAATTAAGAATCCGCGCCCGGCCCTTGCGCGTACCACTATGGTGAGAAGATACCGAGTCTTCCATTGCCAGTTTTCTTTTCGCACATTCTCATTTTTTCTTTCTTTCTTTACAGGAACCTTTGGACTGAAGGAGTATTACCGCCCATCCAATTGGGGCGATTTGGACTACCTTACGAGTGAGTATGATCAGCCTATGTGGTCATGCTGCAACGAGGACAGTTACGAAGCTGCTCCTTGTGAGCATAAGCCCAAGCACACTTTCCGTTAGTAGTCCATGGCGGCGCAAGGATACTGGATGGGACGGTTTGAGGAGTTTGCTGGTTTTTACCTCTGTCGTTGGCTTTCTTCCTGCTGTTTGATGGTCACTGTTGGGGGTTTTCGATAGTCGGTACCGCTGTAGTTTGATAGCTGCTGTTCGATGGTTTGTGTGGCTGTCGTCTGATTGCAACTTGACTACCTCGTTCGCTGGCAGATAATGTTACCGAGCATCTCCCTGATTATCGATGTACTCGCTGATGTTGCTTGAGTGAAGCCAATGTTGAACATTGCTCTCGTGCAGTGTAGGTGGAAGGTAGCCGCGAGCCGCCACCGCCATTCGCTCTCCTTGTCAAATCCTTGACATCCACGCTACTGAGCTAGATCTTGATCTCGATGGATAGCTACCTAAAGCAGGGATGACCTCATGCACAAGTGATGGAGGATTCTGGCCTGGGCATGTCCGGGACTTGGATGCTAAAGATGAATCTGAATTATGACGATTGCATCAATCCCAAACGTGGATAAATATTAGGGTTAGGGTTCGTCCCTATGACCGTTCGTGCTACTACGGGTTAGAACCACGGCTGATAGCGAGAATAGCGTCTTGGGGCATCGTCTTGTCATCGCCGTGGACATGAGCCGGGTCCACAGAAGCTCTCGCCGCCTACATAAGCGAAAATCCGCATTCAATGGGTACCGGGTAGTCAGAACGGTTCATCACCCATGCAAGCAATTGCACAAGCAGTCAATCGCCCGAGGAGTCAATCACATGCACGCACTAATTGACCTGCGCTCTTTGTACATCTTTCACGGGGAAGAAAGGTGTAGTTTGTCTCCAGCTAATGGCGACCAGCGTTGAGGGTTGGGGTTCGGTTCGGAACGTGGCTACCATGCAGCGAAGACGACGACGAGAACGACGACGGTGCCCCGGCACGCTATTGAAATATACGGCGGACCCGCGCAAGGTGCACAAGATGAAAAGAAAGACCGGTGTGGCTGATCGACAGAGATAAAAAAAAACTAAAAAAAAAAAAAAAAAAAAAAAAAGAGAGAGAGAAAAAAGAAGTAAAAAGAAACTGGCCCGGTCTCGGAGTTGAACCGAGGTCTCAGCTGTTCGGAAAGTTCTTAGAGGTCGATTATACATTCCCCCTCACTTTGTAACTGTGTGCTACCCACTGCACCAACCAGACTGCACCAACCAAACTGCACCAACCAGACTGCACCAACCAGACTGCACCAACCAGACCGGTTGTTTGCTCAACACGGGAGACCAGATTATACCTGACCTGAGGAACCTAGGCACTTGCGAGGTACTTGCCGCAACATACCAACATGGAAGTCACGGTCCAAGAATGTTTGCTTTTGGACGCGCGGACGGACGACCCACAGAACTGCTCACCTTCGTCTCGAAACATTCCAAATTACTCCTTCCTAAATGGCAGTTACAGCCAATTCAATGGTGGTTCACGGTTTCGCCATCTGTCTCCTCGTGGGTTTGACGGCAATGGAGGCAGGCTTTAGGACGGCAGTCTCGATTGCTACGGTCGCCGAGCCGACAATGGCTTCCCGTTGCCTCACATCTCGCCGTATGCGGACACGATCTAAATAGCCCTTTCTTCAAGTTTTGCGTCCCCCCTTTCTATCCCGAACAATGAATCCATACAAGCCTACGACGGCTCAAGCTGCGCTGGCGGCGCCCTGGACCAGCACGTTCCGCAACGTAGCCTTCGATCAGATTGAACGACTGTTAGAACGATCAAATCACGTGTGCCACGAACGGGCAGAGCCCGCGAAAGATTGGAAAAGGAAAAACATGCAATAGGATGAGGAAAAAATTCGGCGGTGGCTGGGCAGTTTGCTGTCTCTGCTTGCCAAGTCTTTCCTCCCAGGTCCTGATATGGCTTCGGGTTCGTCGCCATCAATGAACCTGTGCCCTGCCCTATACAGGCGGCCTAGTTAACGTGGCAAGCGATAACGGGGGATGGAGAGATTCCTGGGGGAAGTTAACGCATGAATCATTTCTCCTCGTATTAAGACAAGTCCGTCGTATAGGGACCAGGCAAGGAAGGGTTGGTGCGGGTCTCTGCTGCTTGTTTTTGCTGCGATATATCCTGAAGTATCGTTCATGGCATTCGAACTGAAGAGAATTTGTGTACAGACGAAAAGAAAAGGGAAAACGAGAAGCTAGGGCGAAGAAAAAAAAAAAAAAGCTGGCCTGATCTTGGGATCGAACCAAGGTCTTGATCTAGAAAGTTTGGCAAACCGATGATACGCGAAGGCGACTTTAGGACCACATGCTACCCACTGCACCAAACAGGCCGATCAGTCGCCCCGAAGAACTGCATCATATACCTACTTCGCTCCTTCGACGCACCGCAGCCAATGTCGAGGCACGAAAGAAAACCAGGAGAGGGGATTCTTAAGCGCACCCACGGTAATACTGCATGCACCCACCCAATCCTCCATCCGGGTTACAGTTATTAGTGTGCGTACATGTTCTCGGTTTAACTATTGCCAACTGTATGCAACTGACGGTAATTTCGCCGTGTTTGTTGACTGCCTTGAATTATGGCATGATGTTCACAGCCGACCCATGACGAGACAGCGCCCCAGAATGCAGACAGCGCGCGCTTCAAGTCGACAGATCGAAGCTACCAGGTACCAAAATTGGACAGTCGGTCTCTTGCGCCCACGAAATTGCAGTCACATGGTCTATGGATGGGCGTTATTGCACGACGATCGGAGCCGCTATGTAGTGTCACGACGGGCTCCTACGCGGCTGCATAAAGATAATCAAAATTCCCAGGGCTTTATAATGGCGGCTGCTGGAAGCCGTGAACATGCCAGACGGGTGCGCACGGGAAAACTGTGGGTGCGTTCAGGAAGTCTCGAAAAGGACAAGAACAAAGAACAGAGAGAAGAAGGAAAGAAACGAAGAAAGCTTGCTGATGGGATTGCACCAAACCTTAGGCAAACTGACTGGGCGAGAACATGCGAGTTGGTACCTGGTAGCCATACTATGCTACCCATTACACCAAGCAAGCTGAAAGCCTGTTATAAACAACACCCTTATAGAGTACTGGGATCGAAAGGATGCCACCGTTGGTTGAAGTGCTGCCAACTGGAAGTTGGTCACACAACAGGTGGCACTTTCCAAGCGCATCATGGCACTTCAACCAACATGGTCAAGAAACTGAACTGGTCCCAACAAGCTAACTTCTGATAAATCTGCTGCGCACGCGGCCGACTTTCTACCAAGGCGATCTACGCTCTGCGTGCACCACGGGAGACTTCGACGCGCCACGTTACATCCCTCCTTCACTTGGGTATCTACGCCCGCCCTCCGATTTCCTGCCCGCCCGCCCTCCGAGTCCCTGTCCGCCCCGTCAATCCAACTCCCGATCCTGCTCAAAAACGCGCCACCAGGCCACGCCCACGTTGCGCTCCTGTCGAGTGAGCGAATCTGGTTCGCCGTCCCCCAACCGCCCCTTCTCCATCACCACCCGTCGGGGCTCTTCCGCCGCTGACCCTTCTGCGCACGCGTCGACCATGCGCATCAAGTCGCGCAGCGCAGCCGACTGCCGCGCCTCGTACTCTTGCACGATCGGTGTGTCGAGGATGGTGTATCTTTGAGCTGTGGGCTGCGGTATTATCTTGACCTCGTCGTCGATGCTGCTGACGCTTGCTCTGGAGAGACGACTTGGGTCATTTTGCTCGTGACTGCTGTCGATGGACCGGAGCCGGGGTCTTATGCGCTGCGCACGCCCGTGGGTGTAATGGATTGCTCTTGTACGATGGAGCTGCGGGAGTGCGGTTTGTTGTGGTGGCTGCTGGGTGCAAGTTGGGGAAGCTTGGAGATGCGATGGCTGGGCTGTGAAGGATGTTTCGAGGTTGTGGCATGTGGGACTGCAAGGGAAGATGTAGAGGTGTGATTGTGGTCGAGATAGGAGAATTGGTTGTGATGATCTTTGCGACGGGATGAACAGATGTGGTAGCGATTCTGGTCTCAATGGCTTTGATATGTTGTTGTTGTTGTTGTTGTTGTTGTTGTTGTTGTTGTTGTTGTTGTTGTATCTTTGGTGGAAAGGTTGTTGCTTTTGGGGAGTAAAGTCTTGGACGGAGGCTCTGAATGCCGTCGTTGTGAAATTGTTGATGTCCATTGGCGATGGGAGATCGCAGTTTAATACAGCCCTCATTGTGGCAGTCGACAGAGTTGATGATGAAGCTTTTGGATTGAAAGGACTGGAATCACCAGGTATTTCGGTTTCGTGAGTCAAAGTGAAGGAGAATTATTCTGAACAATGAAACAAGAATTTTTCCGGACCGCAGATCCAGCAGGGCCGCTCATTATGAGCATGGCAAACAGCCGTAAGTCAGCCGTCGGTGGTCATGGCAAAGTCACCAACACGGGTCACAGGATCCCGTTGCGGATGCGGGCAGCTCGGGTTACGATTGTGGCGGAGTCGAGGCGCTGGGAGGCGCCGGCTTGTTGGTTACGAGGTTCCCACATCCTGATTTGCCCGTTCCTCCGGGCTAGCCCAGCCATCGGGAGACGGGTCTCTCGCCCGAGCAGCTTGGTTTGGGCCTTTTTGAATGGCATTGGGGAGAATGACAGTTGGGTGGCTGAAGGTCCGATGCCGAGCGTTGGAGGCGAGGGTGCCCTATTTTCGTCGCCGATGAATTGGATCTGGGGTCCAACTTAACACCTGTTTCACGCGGCCAACGTCCTTGTTCCTTTCGTAGTACCTTGTTAATCTCAATTCGTTGACACGCGAAGTCTCAGCGCTTGTAGGTGCAATGGATCTAGAAGCGACGCACAGCGTTCAGATTGCATCAACCTAGAAGAAATATGCGGTTGTGCACTGGAAGGCATCTGGTTTGGAATATCGAGCGCGACCGAAAACCGAAAAAAAAAAAAAAAAAAAAAAAAAAACCTTCCAATCTGCGCCCTCAAAAACACCGCCGGCGACAGCACACCGAGCTCAGCTGACGTCACATGTCAGCAGCATCATCACCGGCCTCGTTTTGGGGGAGGGGTTGCGACGGCGATTTGTGGGGACAAGGGAGGAGCCACTTCAGCCCCATTGTTGCGGAGTGTAGGTCGAACGCGATCTGAAAATACGTCAGCACTGCAGCAACAAAGCGAATGAATCCGTCCTGGGCATTAAAGGCATCAGAAATTGTTTTGCCATGTCCTTCATTCAATGTGCTTGTGTGGCCAAGACATTCGACTTCCGACGACGATGCCGGGGTGCGGGGTGGGGTCCGTCAATGCAGATCACCTTACCCAGCATCGCTCCTTCCCTGTCTGTCAGCATTGTGACAAAAAGAAACAACAATCTTGCAGGCGCGCACGGGCCCGGCATCAACAGCAACCTCCCTACCGAGAACCGACCTGTAACCGCCAAAGCTTGATCACCGAGAAAGGTCATGGCCGGTGCGGGCAGGCAGCGACAGTGACCGTGACGTGATACAGAAGGGACTGAAAGAAGAGGAGAGAACCCACCGCACAACACCCCACCATCGAGCTAACGACAGGAGAAGAATGGTGCCCAACGAGGAGCGGCAACTACTGGCTGGTTGCAAGCCACGAAAGTCAGAGTGTGGGAGCCAAACATGCAAGAGGACGTGGGCCGGCCTTGGGGAGCTCTGCAGCTGCTGCGAACAACTGTAGGTCCACCATTGGCCAGCACCCACCAGAGTGCGAACGAGTTGAAGAATTCGCGCGTGAACCACCCCGACGGCCAATGTGATTAAAAGCAGCTTTGGCTTGCGCTGCTCATCAGGTAACCCCTCGGCCTTTTCTCAACCCCTCCGACCCTTCACTAACGGCCGCATCGTCGACGACAGAAACAAGATCGCAGACAATTATTTCCTGTGCCATTGTTTTGAGCAACCGGCCAACCACGCCTCGGAATTCTGAACTCTGAAATCAAACTCATCCAAAATCCCCACACCCCGAAAACGAAGCCATCATGCCCAACCTCGTCGCCGTCGATGTCTCCGTGACTGACGACCGCATCAGCCTGGTCTTCTCGCACCGCCCCGTCGCCGATGCCTACGCCGCCTACATGCGCGCCGAGGACTCCCGTCCGCCGCATGCGCAACCCATCCCCGGCTACCGACGCGATGCCCGGCACCGCACTGGATCCAAGGAGGTCACGCTGGCGCTGCCCAGCTTCATCACCTGGTTCATCACCTGCCGGCTCCCCGACGACGAGGACAGTGTCACCTTCACCTTCATGGACTCGGACGAGGGCTGGGCCAACTCGTGGGCCAACTCCATGGTGCTGTTCGAGCCGCTCCTTGGACCCGTCTACGACGAAAACGTCAAGCAGCTGCACGTGAAGCGCCTGTGGAACAAGACCAAGCTGCTCAACAAGCTCGAGGGCTTGCGCAACGCGCCCAGCCCGGACGTCAATGGCACCTACGGGTACGGACGCACGGCTGAGGCGCAGAACGACGCTTGGTGGTGATGGAGGGAGAGAGGGAAATGTTTTGTATCAAAAGCTTGGTGGGTTGGGATATGTTGAACAAGGCGCATGCTACGGAACGGTTCAGGGGAAAAAAACGGGATCTTGGGTTCCTCTCAGGATGGCCCAGTCCGATGCTAGGCTTGCCCAAGAGGGCCGGCGAGGAACAACAGCACTTTGACTACTGTACGACTATTGCATAGGGAGGCTTTGTGGATGGGATTGGGGGTTTGCATCGCGACAGATGGTGTGTTCAGGGGTTCGATGGAATGACACCTGTTTGCAAGATACCTAGCGAGAGAGAGGGAGTACGAGGGAGTCGCGATGACGGCTGAATGTTGACTGATCTAAACAGGGCAGCCATGGAAAGCAGATAGGCATCTCGGAAATGGAACTGTTGGACTGACCTCGCTGTCGACTGATCAAAAGTCAAGAGTTGCTGTATCCCTGTCAACGCCTGATGGAAAAGCGGAACGCGAGCTCCCCATCACGGCAATCTAACCTGTCTTCGTCTAGCGTAGTGGTCTGCACACCATCTCCCGACATACGAGCCGATCCGCTCGGCTTTTGAGAGGAGTCAAGGTTGCCAGTTGTCACGGTCACAATCCTGTTTCTAATTATAGCACCGCAAATGCTGCTTGCGATGCCAGAACAGCGAAGCGATATGAGATAAAAGCTAAATTCAGATGTAAGCTGTCACTTCTTTTCGATTCTCTTATCTGGGGTTGATTATAAACCTATGCGTTCTTTGATCTTCTAGCTGGGTTGAAGTTTTTGAGATGATTAGGTGTCGCCCAGAGGCATGCACACGTGGCGGGGATCAATGCCCAATGGCGGCCGAATGAT